TCTAGGTGAAGTCCAAGGCCAGCCGGTTCCCACACAGGGGCCTTTTAGCTGGAGCGCTATCCAAGGCAGTGGAGATGACGGTGCGCCATAGCCATAGGCGAGTCTCCCATGTCAGTTCCTCTCTCTCTCCAACCCCCTCTCTCCTCCTCTGCACCCTCTGGCTGCCCTTCTCCATAGACTGGCACGAGGCGCTCCACCCTCTACTTCCATAGCCTAGACCTACACCCTGCTACTACTTGCCTCCCCTAAACCACCAGTACACCCGCACCTAAAATCCCGAACCTACCTGCCCACTGTGTGCCACTCTTTTCTGAGCCTTCTGCGTGAGGGTACCTGCAGTGGGAATTTCGGAAGTGGCACTGGTGCCGGCGGTCTGCCTGAAGGGAAAAAAGAAAAGAAAAGAAAAGAAAGGAACCAACATGCCAGAGAGCAATGATGTTGTGAAAGGACGTCATGGAGGCCATACGAATGGCCACTTTCCTGAATGCATCTGACCATTATTACGGGGAGAGGGAAACGTTGCTGTTTTTCAAACTTTTTCCTTTTTTTCTCGTTTTGTTTTTTTCTTCCTGGCCCTGCCAGCAAGGCAGCACATATTCCTCTTGCTCGAAACGCCCTCGCCGAGGGCATACTCACACTAGAGACGTTGAAATGCATCCAACCACTTTCACGGCCAAAGCGTTGTTGCCTTTTTTTTTTTCTTTCTTTCTTTTTTTGAGGGTCTGACAGTCCTGCTCCCCGTGTTCTACGTTCTGCTGAAGTGCCCTCACTGAGGGCAAACTCGCACGAGTACTCCAAAAGTGTATCCAACTGCAATCACGGCCAAAAACTTTTTTNTGTTCTACGTTCTGCTGAAGTGCCCTCACTGAGGGCAAACTCGCACGAGTACTCCAAAAGTGTATCCAACTGCAATCACGGCCAAAAACTTTTTTTTTTTGTTCTTTTTTCGAGAGTCCGACAGTCCTGCTCCCCCTGTTCTACGTTCTGCTGAAGTGCCCTCACTGAGGACAAACTCGCACGAGTACTCCAAAAAGTGTACCCAACTGCAATCACGGCCAAAGCTTGTTTTGTTTTTTGGGACGTACGGATTTGAGATGGGCCCAAAATTTGAAAACCTTCTGACACTCCGACCCTGCCCTGAGCCCGCCTGTTACTTCTTGTGGCGACAAGTTATTTTGCTGCAAGGCTGAGGCCGTGTACTGGTGGTTTAATGTGCCTGACTTATATACTCTCGCCACTTGGGCCCCGGCCTCCCTTTGGCCATGGTAAACTGCCTCGCTGGTGTACTAGGCCAACTGGGATTTCCTGCCTTTTGGCGGGGACATCATGCCAGCCTGCAATTCTACTTCACACCCTGAACCGGACCTCTGCTGGGTGCACCCACAGTTTCCCTATTTCTAAACTACCCCTTCCTGGGACAGAGAAAACACAGGGCGAGCTCACAGTTAGTACTCCGCACAGCAATCACCACATAGGGACTCGGACACATGCAAGCAAACAGCATGCTCACTCCGAACACGGAAACCTCAGCAAATCAAACCATCAAGCAGCAATACTCAGAAAACAGCATTCATCTCAGACTGATTCTTTGCAGGTCATTGCACAGTTCTGCGTGTCACTCCATTGCTTGCAGAGCAAGGTTGCAGATGAACTCTGAAACCACCAGTACCTCGCCCGCGCATACTTGAGAATCGAAAATGCAACAATGCGGGTTCTAGGGATGAAGAGTTAGTTCTACGGGACCAAAATGCAAAAAGTTCGGCGGTGTGAGGCAAAAAGTGCGGCGCTGACGGCTCTTTTTTTTTTGGGTGAGCACTGAAAAGTGTGAATCCGCATAGGAAAAAAGAGGCTCGGAGGTAGGCAATAGTCACACAAAGGCCTGTGGGTCGAATCTGGCCCTGTGGTCAGACAGACCCCTCAAAGTCCTCATGTACCTCGGAGTGAGTATAGACCCGCGGTTGGGTTGCGGCCACGGGGCTTCAAAGATTTTTCCTGGCCCAAAAAAAAAAAAAAGAAAGAAAGAAAAAAGAAAGGGGTTGGAGGGTTTTAAAAACCCTACAAGGCTACAACCCCATATTTTCTGTCTTGGATTTCGACGTTCTTTTTATTTTTCAAAAATAGCAAACGAAAAAAACAAGTGTTTTCATAAAAAATGAAGGTAAAAAGGCCTTTTTCCCTGGTGGGATAAACGACTTTTTGTGATTGCTGGTGGGATAAACAATGTTGCACAGTTGCACATGTTTTTTTTTCTTTTTCTTTGATGGACAGATGCAAAGATAAAAGGGAAAAAATGTAAAAATACACAAAAACTTCAAAAAGAGCCAAAAAGGTTTTCTTTTTCTTTTCTTTTTTGTTTTGTTTTGTTTTTGAGACACACACATATTGATTAATTGATTGATTGATTGGTAAAGAGTGAACGCATGGGTGTCTGTGTGTGTGGGTGTGGGTTTGGGTGTGTGAATGTGTGTGTGTGTGTGTGGTTGCGCAGGGGGGGGGACCCCACCCCCACCAATCAATCGATCAATCAATCCAAAACAAAAAGGTGAAAAAAAAAACAGCGCGCGAGTGTGTGTGTGTGTGTGTGCGTGTGCAGGGGGGGGGGGACCCCTCCCCCACCAATCAATCAATCAATCGGGAAAAAAAAATGGAAAAAAAAAGCAGCACGCGAGTGTGTGTGTGTGTGTGCGTGTGTGTTTGGGGGGGGGGAAGGGGTCACCAATCAATCAATCAATCAATCAATCAATCAATCACCCAAAAAAAAAAAGACAGCGCGTTCGTCGACGCGGGTGTGTGTGTGTGTGTGTGCGGGGGGAGGGGGCGACCCATCCCCTACCAATCAATCAATCAATCAATCAGAATTTATTTATTTTTTTAATTCTTTTTCACCCCCCCCCCCCCCCCCAATTCGTTCTTTTATATATTTTTTTCTGCTATGGGGTCGGGGTGGGGTTGATCAACCCCAATCCGCAACTCCCACCCCCGTACCCGCCCTCTCTGCCTGCCATGCAGCTGCGAAAGTTGCGACCACCGCGGTCACGGCCGCCTTGACCGCGACTGCAGGCGATTCAAGGACCCCGACAGATTAATCAGAGAACACTGACAAGTCCCTTTTTTTTTTTTTTTTAAACACTCCCCCACCAGTGTTAGTGCTGCTGGTAAGAGCAGACTGACAGATGCATAAGAAGATTTCGAACGGTACTGACTCTCTTGGAATGATCTCCCCCTGAGTTGATGTAAGAGGATATCCTTCAACCGTCGACCTAAAGATTCAATCAGCGGCATTGTTGTCTGCTGTACAGTGTATACTGATTTTCCTATTTTTCTTTTCTTGTTTGTAAAGCGCAATGGCCTCGAAGTATCATCATCAAACCACCTGGCCCCAGGTAATTCAAAGATATTCTAGGATTTTAACCCAGGTCTGCTTATCAGCAGTTCATGGGTCCACCGTTCAGCCACATTGGCCGGGTGCCGAATACTCCTTTTGTAATCCACCATCACCGCTTGTTCAGTTCCAAATTTTAATCCACTACCATTTTGTACTGAGTTATATGACTTAATAAATTTATATAACGGTAATATTACCGCATTCCAATTTCCAACCCAAGTGTCGTGACCAGCATCAAGAGTGGAGCTTGGATTCCAGGCTCAGGAAAATGAGGAGGGAGAACAAAAAGGGGAAAAAAAAACTTAGAAAGGGAAAGAAGTTCAAAGAACCTGAGAAAATGCCAACCAACTGAACGAGAATAGCGCGATCCTTGAACAGTGGTGCTTCGGAGGGCGAAAAAGAAAAGACAAAAGTCGCAAAATGGGAGCAGGATCTACGGGCCGTTAAAATTCAGGGCTTTTCTTTAGAGAAGTTTAGACACAACTCGTCCCAGACAATCCACTCCAAGGGTATTCATTCTGCGAGGCTATGCCCGCTTAGCCCTACGGGCCTTATTTGCAACAAGGTCGGCCGCCCTAAGTGAAGGCATGCACGACAGGCCCTCAGGGCCTCACTTTCAGGGAACCCCCGCAAATGGGGAAATTCAGGCAGTTGCACAGCATCAGTTGGTTGAATGAACTCAGGCCCTGGGCCGCCCATGTGAATGAATGTAAAGCAGGCCCTGGGCTGGGTACGGGTACCGGGCCAAGCACAGGCCGAAAGCAGTTGGGCACAAGTAACTACTTCAGGCCCACTGCCTGTATTCCTCGTGACTGGGCCTCAGGCTACCGGGGCCTACTGGAAGCTTCTTGGACTGGACGCAGGCAGGCCAYGGGGATATAGGCAAGGGCCAGCCTCCTTATTCGTCATTCAGGTGCTGGCTGCAKGCGGCGACAGCGYTGCTGCGCTATTTGCTGGCTGGCGCCCTCGCACTCACGGGCGAGTGTGGAAGAAGCAGGCAGCCATAGCCACGCTGCCTGCTGTAAGCTGGGTTGGGCGCAGGTTGGTCCTTGGGTGCTTGAGGCATCTGTGCGGTGAGGATCGGGGTTGAGAGCGAAGCGGGAGTCATACCTGGTGCTTGAGGCGAGCGGCATTGGCCGCATATGCTCGTACTTCGGTGAAGAACTTCGGCATTGTAGTAGTAGGCTAGATAGGATCTGCCATCTTGTAGTCTGGGCGCCGAGCGCCAAAAGGATACCAACTCTTGTTCTTTGTTGATGATGATGAGAGACAACTTCAGCATTGTCAATTATGAACTATTGCTGTGTTCTTATTTGGTATAACTCGTGATGCCATTCTGCTTATGGTTCGAGGTCATGGCTATTTGGTCACTCTGGTATGATGCTGTTGAGTTCGGGAATTCGCTATTGCTCATCTTCCTTGCAATTCCATCTACCCATTGGCAATTCGAAATTACCCATCTTTCTCATTTTCTTAATGATATTAATGATATTATATTTCCACAAGAAGTAAACTAGGAAAGAGAAAAGAGAAATACCTTGCTTTCAGTTCTCACAGAGAGAAATAGTACAGGTAACAGCTTGCTTTTTTTCTTTTGCCTTGCAATTTCAAAGCCTTAGTTAGTGCCAAGGAGACTTCTACAAATTAATCCGCTTTCCGCTTTCCGCTTTCCCAGCCTGTCTTATACATTCCTTAAATGCTCCTACCATCCAGCAAAGTATTTCCAAACTTCAATCCAGTGAAGGAGGTCACAATTTGGATGAACGAAAGGCGAAAGGAATAGTCCTGAAGTTGCATTGATTGCTAGTAAATGCTCCTCCTACTACTATTCAACAAACTATTCTAAAGCTTTCAAACCAAAAGAGGAAGGTTAGGATATGGATGAACATAAGGCGAAAGGAATATATTCCTGAAGTTGCAGCATTGATTGCTATTCCCAGCCTGTCCCATACAACTAAACTCTTTTAATGCTCCTACTCTTCAACAGACCTTTTTCAAACTTCAATCCAATGATGAACAACGTTCGGATTAGGACGAACGAACGTAAGGAGAAGGAAATATTTCTGAAGTTGCATTGATTGCTAAGTTGCCACTCTTTTTATCACAAAAAAAACAAAAACAAAGGCATGTTCATTCATCACTCATTCAACAACAAACAAGCTTGTGACTTTTGGAGTCACATTTTAGCAGATGAGAGAGCAGACCAACGGAGATACCTGAAGAGTACGGCATGTGTCCTCAGCTTGGGTGGACGGACGCCTGTCAAGGCAGTTGCACAAACTCCCACGTGTTTGCATCGGGATCCCGAGTGAACAGAGCTGGCCGTCCCGACTTGCTCATTGTATAGGGAATACCGGCCTTGTCAAGCGCTTCCTGGAGAGGAGTGATGTCTGAAATGGAGATGCATGCATGGCGGTCACGTCCACCGTGCTCAGGACGTCCTGTCTTAGGGTCAGGATTCGGCAGCTCCATGAGATGAATCATCCCCTCCCCAACCCAAAGCCAACTGCCTCTATATGGCAGTTTGTCTGCTGGACGGTCATGATTGACTTGAAGGCCCAGAACGCCGATATAAAAGTCGAGCGATCTCTCCAGATTCTCGCAGAGAACCGCCACATGATGGACCCCTGTAAACCCTATTTCATCAGCAACCGACAAAGAGGTTGTTTCCGAGTCTTCTGCCATTTCCTCTAATATCTTAGTCTCAGCCTCTGAGGAAGGCGGCATCGAGACATTGGGCGGCATCAACTGATGCCGCCGATGCGAGCGGTTTTGATCTCCCTGATGGAGCCACAGTGCCGGAAGGGACGAATCAATACAGTTCCGCTGATGGACCTGCTCCCAAGGCATCCTGGGGCCGATCGCCATAACTTTTCCCAGAGGAGGAGCATGGCATCTGAAGTTTGTATGACTTCCTGCTACTGGATGGCTGAGTTGAAGATGTTGACGAAGCGAGTTGCTGACACCATGGCAGCAGGCATTTGCATTATCAGCAGCAGCAGCAGAAGAAGAAGAAGAAGAGGAAGAAGACAGTGTAAGGCCTTTGTGGAGACCATGGGGAGTCGTAGAGAGCGTCCGATTCTGCCCAACATCGATGGCCAGCTGCAGTGCGCAGCAATGAGGGCCAGTGACAGAGCGGTTGCCAATACTACTGACGATTGGTAAGCCAACCAGGCCGTGCTCCATTTTTGCTGGGGAGTCCCCCAAGCAGTGAGCTATGAACTGCCCAGAAATATATGACTCTGTTTTTCTTCACTTTGCTTCTTTTTCACTTTGCTTTTTTTTCACTTTGCTTCCCCTCCCAAGGGATACTAAAGCACCCAGTTTCCTCAAATGCTTGCCTCCTTCCCACAAGTGGAAAGCAACAGTTTATTCACGATAGGTCGTCAAGTCCAAAACTTGAAAAGTGGTGGGAGATTGAACTCTGGTGCTGTGAGTCTGTGATTCATCGCTGAACCGCTTCAACTTCATCTGGCACTCCATCAATTACCTATTCTGAGATCTGCCATCATTTTCTGGAGTCCAAGAGTATGTCTCTTAAGCTTGTGAAAGTTCGAATCCTAGTCAGCAAATAGTTTGGGTTGCTCAACTCGATGATGCAGCTGTCATCTCTCTCTCGCTCGCTCACAGCCGGAGACCATTAAGAACAGCAACTGCATGCACCAGTCTCATAATTCAGCTCCCAGTTATGCAAAAAGTTCCAAAAAACTACCGCACGAAACCACTCATTCACTCTTCAACAGCTTATGCAACTTTTGGAGGTTGCCACTCGACTGAAACACCCATATAACTCATTAATCGTACAGGTCACCGGATCAAACCCTGTTGAATCCAACAACGAGAAACTTGTTCTTGTCTCTTAAAGGGTTGCTTTTTTCAATGCAGAAGACGTCTGAAAAACTTCCGCGAACCACCGAGAATTTCTGAGGACCTCTGTGAACTCCTGAGAACTCCACTCACCACTTCATCCAGAAATTATGCTGGAAAGATTGTTATGTTGTGCGAACAGACCCTATCAACAATGTTCTTGTCATTACAGGTTGCTTTGAATGCAGATGCAGAGGACGTCTCAGGACTTGCAAGAAATTCAGAGGACCTTTGAGAACTTCTGAGAACTTTCTGAGAAGTTCTGAGAAGGTTCTGTCAAGTTTCTGGGCAATTGAGAATGTCTGAGGAATTCGGAGAACAGCTGTGAATACATTTGTAAGATATTCTCAGCTTCTGACTGGCCGGTGGAACAGGAACCGGACTGATGCTCTCCATAATGGAAAAGGATCCGGAGGTTCTTTTTTTTTTTTTTTTTTTTTAAGCTATTCTCAGCTGTGAGTAGAGTTCCGCACAGAGTTCTTAGTTGTTCCACCAGAGTGCAACAATGGAGAACTCTCCAACTCTACCAACTGGTTAAAGAGATGTGGGAGCACACTCACAGACAATTCCCAAGGGTTTTTCACCATAACTTTTCCTTTAAAGGGATTAAACTTCATTAAAGTGATCGACCCATTTGGTGGCAAGTCATCCGCTCCATTCCTCAAAAAAGTTGATCTTGGACTTCTTGAGAACTTGTTCTTGAAGTTAAAGTTGCTTCCAGTGCAGAGGGCGTCTGAGAACTTGTGAGAAATGTCAAGAACCACTGAAAGATCTTCTGAGGACATCTGAGAATTTCTCAGATCTTTGGAGAACAGCTGAGAACTCCACTCACAGCAGAGAAACTCTATTCAGCTGAGAACTCTACTCAGCTGAGAACTCTACTCACAGCAGAGAAACTCTATTCAGCTGAGAACTCTACTCACAGCTGAGAACTCCTCGTGGAACAGCTGAGAAATCTACTCACAGCTGTGAGTAGAGACTCTACCTACCGCATCCAGAAGCAATGCTTCAAGCACACCAGCTCTGCAGCTGAGCACATAATATGAGTGTCAGTCACCAGTGGGCATGCCACGAGGGAAAAGAAAGGATGTGGACGAACTTCCACACAGATATAGGGCATCGCCACACCACCGGTGCAAAATACGAATGAACTTCCCACTAGAACATGGCCAGATGCACCCGCCACATTTTTGTCTTTTTCACATTTCGAGAGTGGTATGGCGACGCCCATAGTAAATATGGTAACAGTATTGGGGAAAACCCCACGGACGGAACATGGGAAATATGGCGACTGCTCAGTGCTCACCGCCAACAAAATCCACTGGCATAGTCGTCTGATGATCAATCCAAATCTGGCTACACAGGTGACGTTGTGGTAGGAAAAAAACAAACGTAGAAATGACGTTTGGCAGTGATGATCATGACAAAGAGATCAAAGACTGGGAGGGATGGTTGACCGCTGAAGGGTTTGCTACTTGAGAATTACCCAGGATGAGGGAGAGGTTCAATGATGAATCAAAATATGCAGAACAAAGTTTTCCAAAGAATCCAAAGTTCCAAACCCCAAAGATTAGGATTAGGATTTTGCGCGGATATTCGAGACGTGGGCCAAGAAGACTGTCAAATTGTGGTCAATCAAATAAACCCCAACTCAACAGAGGTCGGCCATCAACCGAGCACGTGCAAGGCCATGTTACAGACTCTAAGTGCTTGCTAAGTTGCTAACACACAAGGAGTCCAAGATCAACTCCGTAGGCAAGAGGTGAAGGAAGCAGGATGAAAGTGTGCGAAGTCTTTTGTGGGCCAATTCAGCCCACCGTAGAAGAGTATGGCTATGGAGGTGGTGGGACTGCATATGGAGACAACTGGGCACCTCGCAACCGTGGCCATGGGACTGGAGAGCACTCCTCTGTGAGGCATGGGCTCCAGAACAAGCTACCCCCTTCGAAGAAAACATGTTTAAAATAGGGCGTCGGGCAATTATTTGGGCCATCTGGTGGAGACGATGCACACTCGAAATGGAAGGAGTACGCCGGGATGGAACAGAGTTCATCAATTCAATTAAAGAACAAATACAAAATGACATTTCCATTCAATGGGAAAGATGCAAGGAAAAGATCGCATATCTACATTCTAGAATCTAAACAGGAAATTAAGACAGCACATAGAGAGGTCCTGCACAGACTGGCTGGGGGGGGGGCAAGGGGGTTTGGTTGCCAAGGTAACATGGAAGGGAGGGGAGAAGGAGGGGGAGGACGTAACAGAAGAGGAAAGGGACTATCACCTATGCTTCCAGGATTGGACAAAGATCAACCCCTCCATCCCACTTCGGCCCCTCTCAGACCTTACTTTTTTTTTTCCGCCCCCTCCCTTAGCTTTGGTTGAGATGGAATGGTATTGGGGGGTGAGTGGCTAAAGATCTGAATGTAGAGTGTGTGTGGAATGTAGGTGTGCTCAGTCAATCCCCTGAGTCGCAGGGCAATCAATGCTGGCAGGCCCCATGGTCACTGTTCTCACCGTTCTTAGACATTCTCATTTTCTGGGGACGCTGGACCCGTTTTCCAGCAGGTGATGCTCCCCACCAATAAATGGAGCCTCTTTCCAGCAGCAGACGCTGGACCCGTTTCTGTATATGGGACGCTGGACCCGTTTTCCAGCAGCAGACGCTGGACCCGTTTTCCAGCTAGTGGTGTCTGCTCTTATCAGCACCACTAGCACTGGTGGGGACGTGTTTTAAATAAAAAATAAATAAATAAATAAAGCTGCTCGTCTACATGCAAATAAATCAAGCATCACTCAGGGTTGGGGGCTGGACAAGGGGTGCACAAGGAGGGTTCGAACTTTGAAGAGTTGTCTGACAATGGATGAGATTCAACAAAGTGCTGCCATGATAAGCCCTTGAAGGCTAGAATTGTCACGGATCTCCGTGAAGAGTGGTAAGATGATTTCTCAACAGAAACAGTGTACAAACAGTGTCGGCAAGTGTAGATCACCAGCCGTGAGTATCGATCAGGCATTACCAGGAGCAATCACATATGTTGATGATGAGCAAGACTGGAGACAGACTCGGAGAGTGCAAGGTAAGATGATAATCTGACTGAACAACTGTACAAGCACAAGGATGTGTGAAATAGATGTGTTTAACACGCATGAGGGCAAGTGATCAGGAGACGTAGCAAGCGTGAGGACAAGGATTGAGGTAACTCAAACACATGTGATGATAGGTAAGCAGACAACTCAGGCAGAGTAGGGACATGTATGACTGGGTGGCTTGCAAGTGCATGCAAAAGTGACCACGCACATGGCTAAAGTGACCACACATGCAGCTATGAGAAAGTCCGATGGCGGGAACAGAAAGATAGGCTTGGAAACACCAGAGGCATTTCTGCAGTATAGATTACAAAGTCAGGCTGAGTCAGCATTGAAGGTCGGAATGGAGACGAGTGCCGCACCAGAAGACCTCATCCACTCACTGCCCGATAAACTGACGGGTGGCCAAATGGATTTGAATTTTGAAACAAATCTCTAGCATTCTGGTGCTCAAATTGCTCAAATTGCTCAAATTGATCCAAGCCTTTCCATCGTTCGCCCATATCACACACCTAGAAATCCTGACCCGCTTCTCCTATTTAAGAACGCCACTTCTCTCACCTCAAAAGAAGATCTCCAGAACACGCGGACTGATGAGAGGGGTAGCATTGGGTAATATAGCAAGAGGGCCGCAAAAAAACAATAGCAGGCAGGAGTGGCGCCAAAAAATGTGCATTGAAATTGTTGAATGGCATTGGAATTGGACCATTGGAAACTATTCGGGAGGAGCCAATCGGAACCACTGGGAACTAGTGGTTGGAACCACTAGAAACAACCACTAGTTTCTACAACTCTCTGGTGGTTGGTTAGCGGAGGAACCAGTTCGGAACTACTAGTGACATTGGAATCACTGGAAACAAACTTGAGATTAGAGTGATCACTGGGTGCAACCAGCCCCGAATCTCCCCTCTTTGGGAGCGGTGAGCTCCTGTGCCCATTCATGTAATGCTAGCAGGGGCTAGAAGTTTAGAGCTTGGGTTCTATGAGGTCAATCTTGGGCTTGATGTCACTGTCAGTCAAGCGTTGAGATTGTGCATGAGGATTCCGTCAGAAGTTCGTTAGTGGCTGTATTCTCTGGTTGTTTTCTGGATTGTGTCAAATTGTCTCACTGTGTGCTTGTTTGCCTTTGTCTCCACCAGAAAGGGGAGGCGTTTGGTTTTCCCGATCAGTAGATTCTCTGCCGTTTTGCGACGGACATGGAACCAGATAAGACTAGTGATCCCCGGAGGACCAGAAAGGGAGGGGGAGGTCCTCTTCCAGAAGTTTTTCTACTGAAGCTGAAGAGACAGGCAGAGCAATGTAGAATGGCCAAGTCTGTTTCCAACGAGTAGCATAACTTGGGCAAACCAGATGTCAGGCAGGGTCAGCAGTAAGGTACTCCGTGGTTTATGAGTAGCACAAGGTTCAGCTGTAAGCCAATCCTAGCTTCCCATGGAGAACCAGACGGGGAGCTGCCAAGGGGGATGAGGGGCACTGAAACGCCCTGTACAGTGAGTGAGTGAGTGAGTAGGCGCCTCAGCTTCATAATACAGGATATGGCTGAGAGGATACCAAAAAAGTGCCAAGAGAGTGCAAGACCAAGCCAAGACTGCCAAAAAGAGTGCTGAAAGAGCCAAAAAAGTGCCAAGAGAGTGCAAGACCAAGCCAAGACTGCCAAAAGAGTGCTGAAAGAGTGCCAAAAGAGTGTTGAAAGAGT